GGTGGTTGTCCATAACCATAACCTTGTGATGGTGGTACTGGTGGTTGTCCATAACCATAGCCCTGTGGTGGTGGTGCTGGTGGTTGTCCATAGCCATAGCCCTGTGGTTGCTGTGGTGGTTGTCCATAGCCATACCCTTGTGATGGTGGTACGGGTGGTTGTCCATATCCAGTGGGTCCCGTGTATCCCGGTGAGTCAGTAAGTCCTTGATTGGACGTTGTTGGTACGCCTAAACTGTTGTTTGTAGGTTTGTTGTTTCGTCCCACACAGTAGCAGGCCAACGCCACACAGACACCGATTTCCAGCAACAGGAGGAGACATCCAAGTCCTATCATGGCAATTCCAGCAGTACGGCGATTCACACCAAAGTCCCCTGTACCTTTCGTCAGCCGCTGTAGCGCTATGAAAGGGTCCTTGTCGCTGTACAGGCGCACCACAACGCTGGATGGTTCCGACACCTGGTAAATATTCGCCAGCTCACCAAAATCGTAAATGGCACTGCGTAGAGTGGAGTCCTCCTTGTATGCCCCTGGACTGATCTCACTAGCTACAAGATACAATCCGGAGAGATACTTTTTCTGCAAGCATGTACCACAACGGCTGTTTACACGACATGAGGAACTTGTGGGAGTAAAATTTCCACCGGAAGCAATACAATTGGCTTGAAAATTTTCCACCATGATGTAACACTTGCAAGTTTTGCTGGATGAGGAACAGGAGCTTAACGAACATTCAATAAACCTTTTATGAATGATCGTTCGAGGAACAGTTCGTGTGAACTTTTGCACAGTGTTGATGTTCACGTCAAAGTTCGGCAAGGAGGAAGTCACTTTTCCTATAGGAACGGTAGCCTCAGTAAAGACAGAAGTGACACCAGGCACACCATCCACATTAAGAGATACACGCCTAACGGCAGCAGGTTCTTCGTTTATGGTGCCAGTCCACGCTTGGATGGGTGTGGGATTAAAATTATTCACAGCCGCTTTAAATTCTTTACGACCATCACTTTGACTGAGAAACAAACTCCCAACAATAATAAGTACGGGTCCACCAATTAGAAGAAAACAAACACAAGACACAACAGCCTTGAGATACTCTCCAACCGCATCAACAATATCGAAGAAGCACATTGTAAAAATATTTCTTGTAATTATTCAAGTGTAAAGCAAAGCAAAGGAAAGGAAAGCAAACAGTAAAACAAATATGCAAAAATGCAAAAGGACTTTCAACACACACACATAGGTGTATCCTCACCTGACAGCCACACACAGAGTCACCTTATCAGCTTTTATACACTGAATCACTGAATTCTCAAAATCCTATTCACCACAAAATTGAATAACTTGAGATATAGAAAGGAAGAAGACATCACATTAAAAGTTGTTTAGTCACTAACAAAAAAGGAACAATCAAAACGAGCATAATACAACACCCACAAAAAAAGAAAAAAAAATCATTCTACACCTACAAAAAATATATATATTCTAATCTTACCATATTATTTCTTCTCAGGAAAATCATTGGATGCTTCAGCCGACTCAGTTCTCCCAGGAAGATACCCTTGAACAGGTGCCGGTCCATAACCATAACCTTGTGGTTGTTGTGGTGGTTGTCCATATCCAGTGGGTCCCGTGTATCCCGGTGAGTCAGTAATTCCTTGATTGGACGTTGTTGGTACGTCGAAACTGTTGTTTGTAGGTTTGTTGTTTCGTCGCACACAGTAGCAGATCAATGCCACACAGGCACCGATTTCCAGCAACAGAATGACAGAACCAAAGACAATCATGACGATACCAGCAGTACGGCGGGGAGCACCAAAAGGTGCCACACCATGGTTCAGCCGCTGTAGCGCTATGAAAGGGTCCTTGTCGCTGTACAGGCGTACCACAACGCTGGATGGTTCCGACACCTGGTAAATATTCGCCAGCTCACCAAAATCGTAAATGGCACTGCGTAGAGTGGAGTCCTCCTTGTACACCCCTGGACTGATCTCACTAGCTACAAGATACAATCCCGACAGATACTTGTACTGCGCACATGTACCACAAAAGCTGTTTTCACCACATGAGGGACTAGTGGGAGTAAAATTTCCACCGGAAGCACTACAATTAGCTTGAAAATCAAGCGCAGCAGTGTAACAGCTACACGATCCGCTCGAGGATGAACAGGAACTCATAGAACACTCAATTGTCCTCTCCTCAGTGATTCTTCGAGAAACAGTTCGTGTGAAGTTTTGGACAGTGTTGATGTTCACGGTAAAACTCAGCATTGATGGAGGATCAACCTCCAAAGGAACGTCAGCCTCAATAAAGTAAGAATAGACATAATCCCCAAAAGGAACTTGAAGGACATCATAAAAATAATAAGCAGGTTCGCCGTTGATGGTGCCAGACCACGCTTGGATAGGTGTGGGATCAATGTCATTCACAGCCGCTTTATATGCACTTTTGCTAGTATCTGGTCTCACAAGGAAACTCCCAACAATGATAAGTGCCACTCCACCAAATAGGATAAGGCAAACACAAGGCACGAAAGTTTTGAGAAAGTCTCCAACGGCATTACGCTTACCAAAGCAGCACATTGTAAAAATCTTTCTTGTAATTATTCAAGTGTAAAGCAGAGTAAAGAGTTAGGCAAACAAACAAAAATGCAAAAGGACTGTCAACACACCACACACACACATAGGTGTAACTTCTCTGGGGATACAAACAGAGTCACTTCATCAGTTTTTATACTTTGAATCATCACATTAGAGATTCCTTCTTCTAGTTAATTATCATCCTCAGATATAAAAAGGAAGAAGAGCATTACACTATTACTACTTGTTTAACCACTGTAAAAACAAAAAAAAAATCAAGTTGACGCTACCACATACCCCAAAAAAAGAAAAAAATATGCTACACTCACAATAATAAATATATTCTAATCTTACCATACTATTTCTTCTCAGAAAAACCATAGGGTGCCGCAGGAGACTGAGTTCTCCCAGGAACATACCCTTGAACAGGTGCCTGTCCATAACCATAACCTTGTGGTTGCTGTGGTGGTTGTCCATAGCCATAACCCTGTGGTGGTGGTACGGGTGGTTGTCCATAGCCATAACCTTGTTGTGGTGGTACTGGTGGTTGTCCATAACCATAACCTTGTTGTGGTGGTACTGGTGGTTGTCCATAACCATAGCCCTGTGGTTGCTGTGGTGGTTGTCCATAGCCATACCCTTGTGATGGTGGTACGGGTGGTTGTCCATATCCAGTGGGTCCCGTGTATCCCGGTGAGTCAGTAATTCCTTGATTGGACGTTGTTGGTAAGCCTAATCTGTTGTTTGTAGGTTTGCTTTTTCGTCGCACACAGTAGCAGATCAATGCCACACAGACACCGATTTCCAGCAACAGGAGGAGACATCCAAGGACAACCATGGTAATTCCAGCAGTACGGCGATTCACACCAAAGTCCCCTGTACCTTTCGTCAGCCGCTGTAGCGCTATGAAAGGGTCCTTGTCGCTGTACAGGCGTACCACAACGCTGGATGGTTCCGACACCTGGTAAATATTCGCCATCCCACTAAAATCGTAAATGGCACTGCGTAGAGTGAAGTCCTCCTCGTACACCCCTGGACTGATCTCAGTAGCTACAAGATACAATCCCGACAGATACTGGTACTGCGCGCATGTACCACAACGGCTGTTTACACCACATGAGGGACTAGTGGGTGTAAAATTTCCACCGGAAGCATTACAATTAGCTTGAAAATTTTCCACCATGGTGTTACAGCTACACGATCCGCTCGAGGATGAACAGGAACTCATAGAACACTCAACAAAGCTTGTATAAATAATTTTTCGAGAGGCAGTTCGTGTGAAGTTTTGGACAGTGTTGATGTTCACGGTAAAACTCAGCATTGAGGCAGGTGCACTTCCCAGTGGAACGGTAGCCTCAGTAAAGACAGAAGTGGCACCATCGACGAAATCCACATTAAGAGATACACGCCTAACGGCAGCAGGTTCTTCGTTTATGGTGCCAGTCCACGCTTGGATGGGTGTGGGATTAAAATTATTCACAGCCGCTTTAAATTCTTTACGACCATCACTTTGACTGAGAAACAAACTCCCAACAATAATAAGTACGGGTCCACCAATTAGAAGAAAACAAACACAAGACACAACGGCCTTCAAACAGTCTCCAACCGCATGAATTATATCGAAGCACATTGTAAAAATCTTTCTTGTAATTATTCAAGTGTAAAGCAGAGTAAAGAGTTAGGCAAATAAACAAATATGCAAAAGGACTTTCAACACACACTACACACACACACCACATAGGTGTATCCTTTTCTGACTCATAAGTATAAACACATAATTCTAGTGGTAAGAATGACTGTAAGTGATATAGAGACCGTGTCAGCTTCTACTGGTTTCCCACACCATTCGCATGACAGGGACTCAAGGTTTTGTACACGTTACAAAGGAGTAAGGCAGAAGAAAAGAAAAGAGAGGCAATGGAGAGGAAATAAAAATGCTAACGTTATTTAAAGAAAATATAAAATTAAATACTTTTTTGTTCATTCTGAGATTTGTGTTCTATTTTTTAACAGAATCAACGTCTTTGGAACTTGTACAAGTTGGTTGAGAAAGTGAATCCCCATAGGAGTACTGTGGTGGTGCTTCCTCGGTTGTGGAGAACCCTTGTGTAGCCAGTGGTTGTCCATAGAAGTATACTTGTGGTTGTCCGTACACATAACCCTGGAGTGGTGCCAAAGGATGTCCATAACCATAACCCTGTGGTGCTGCTGCTGCTGCTGCTGGTGGTGGTGGTGGCACAGCTAGTTGTCCATAAACCGGCGGTTGCTCTAGTGATTGTCCATAACCACTGGGTGTCATATATCCCCCTGAGTTGGTAACTGCTCCATTGGACGTTGTTGGTAAGCCTAATCTGTTGTTTGCAGGTTTGCTTTTTCGTCGCACACAGTAGCAGATCAATGCCACACAGACACCGATTTCTAGCAACAGGAGGAGACATCCAAGGACAACCATGGTAATTCCAGCAGTACGGCGATTCACACCAAAGTCCCCTGTACCTTTCGTCAGCCGCTGTAGCGCTATAAAAGGGTCCTTGTCGCTGTACAGGCGTACAGCGACGCTGGATGGTTTCACTGCAGTATAATCATGTGCCTCTTTTCCAAAATCGTATTTGGCGCTGTACATACTTTTATGCTCACTGAATACCCCTGGACGTATCTCAGTAGCCACGAGATACACAGTAGAAATGTATTTTGTATATGAGCATGTACCACAGATATCAGACAAACCACACTTTGATTTACCTTTATCAAACTCACCCTCGTTTGAAAGACAATCATTCTCAAAGGTAGCCAGAGCGGCCTTACAAGTACATTCGCTACCGGGTGGAAAACAATCTTCAGGAATACATGTGTACTTTGGACTTTTTGATTGCATCATGGTTACACTCCTTGTGAAGTTTTGAACGGTAGAAATATTAACAAACAGATCGACAGATAGGGGGGTTGATTTCTTTTTTTTTGAATCTTCCTTCAGCTGAACGGTAGCCTCAGTAAAGACAGAAATGACGTTAGGCATACCATCCACATTGAGAGGCACGTGGTAAACAGTAGCAGTAGAGTCGTTGATGGTGCCAGTCCACGCTTGGATGGGTGTGGGATTAAAGTTCTTCACAGCTGCTTTAAATTCTTTACGACCATCTTTTTGACTGAGAAACACACTTCCAACAATAATAAGTGCAGCTCCAGCGATAAAGAGGAAGATAACAACTGCCACAACAAACTTTAAATACTTTCCCACTGTGGCAATAACATCACAACAGCACATTGTAGAAACCTTTCTTGTAATTATTCAAATGCAAAACAAGGAATAGAAATCAAAAAAAAGAAGCAGACAACAGTATAACGGATTATATAAAATAAATAGATTTATATATTTAGTATGAACTTACTTGTTTTCCTTAGAAGAGTTTTTTTTAAAAGGTGAAATCGGACGAAAAAAACAAAATGGAGCAATGTTTTTTTTTTTTTTCTTCAGAAAACTCTTTAATCTAGTAGTCTACATTGAATACATCAAGTGACGTTTTGTAGATTAAGATTTTCTCTTTTTGAAGGATAAAGGTTTTTTTTTTTTTTGTGTGTGTGTGTGTGTGATTACTCATTGGGATATACAGTTAATGATTTAACCCACTCGGTGTGATCTACTGTTTATCTTATGCTGTAGTTGTTACAATCCTTTTTTTTGCTTTACTAGCGTGAGGAGTGACTCAACAGTTGCCTCATCACTTCGTTCATCCTCGACCTGTCTAAACTGTAATCGCAGCTTTCGGGCTTCCTTTTCATGTAATTTTCGCTGAATATGATCTACATAGTGCTGTTTTTCTTTATTACGAGATCCACTCATGACATATCCAACAGCTTCCGCTGCAGCAACACTCTCTGCATCGTATCCAATTTCTCCTCGACGCGGAGCTCTTTTGAACTGCCGAAGAAATTCTTCTCGTGACATCTGAGAAGGATGTTTCATATTGTTTTCGTTTAACAATTGCGAGATACCGTTATCTTCACTATTCACGCATGTGGTGTTTTGGATAGAAACGTCAAAATCCTCTTCATTCTCATCAGATGGAAGAGGTGCATCATTTTTATTATGATCAGAAACATTCTCTTTCCTGACATTGTGAGAATGAAGTGAAGTAACTGCTGCATTATTTCTATACTCAAGGGAAACTGTTTTCTCCTCTCGGTCCTTTACTCGAGCCTTTTCTATAAGACTTCCAAGAATACTTCGAGGTTGAAGTGAATTATTTGATTCAGCACAGGTTAAGTTAAGTTCTGAGTTAAGTGTTTTTTCTTGCATCTTACTGAGTTCATTCCTCGGTGTTGAAGAAGCAGAAGAAACACTAACTGGGGGAGGCTCGTTTCTGGAGACTTGGTAAGGCACCCCCGATGCACGCACAAGAGATGCAATGATATGAAACAGAGGACTACTGTCATCTTTCTCCTTTTCCCAATCTTCGGTTTTTTTTTGGTTAGACTCCAGTGAGCGCATTTGCTGCTCTTCTCGCCGTCGTTTTTGTCGTAGATGTGCTGCTTCCTGATTTGCGGCAGCGTATTGTGTGCAAAATGGATTAGAGAGAAATGTCAAGAAGAGAGTCCTTTCCAGTTCTTTCCCTGTCGGTTCATTTGCAGGAGACCAGAAGGTATCGGTCATTATGGCCTACCTTTTTTTTCAATTAGTTACTGTATAAATAAGAAATGAATGAAAGCAAAAAGAATGATAATAATAACAAACAAAAGGGGTACATGAACTTAACATTGAAACCATAGAGAATCATATAACTTACGGAGAAAAAAAAAAAAAGATCGGCACTATTACACATGTATAAGGTTTGGTGTCAAGAACAACAACAACAACAACAACAACAAGATATATATATTTATAAACACCGTCATATCAAGTAGTTATCACGTCAGCTTCATCTTCTTCCTCATTTTTCTCATCTTCCTCCTTTTTCCCCTTGAGGTACATTTCGTCAACATTTAAACCAATCAAAAAGGCTTCACGCAGAGTGTTAGAAATGTTAAGATTATTTACAAGAGCTACAAGTTCATCTCTAGTTTTTAATGGAACATTTTGTGTGCTAACAGCAGTTATTTTCGTTGTAGTACTAGATGTTTCACGCTCCTCCTTAGTCATCTTCTTCTTCCGTGTAGATTCTGGAGTTATTCTTTTCTTCTTTGAATGTCTTGTCAAATCCAAAGTAGTCGTAGAATTATCTTCCTCTGTTTCAGATTTTATAATGGTTCCTTTTTCTTTTTTGATAGTGTTTTCAGCTGGTTTTTTCGCCTCACGGTGAACAAGGCGACCGTTTACTAAAACAAGTTCACCTTCTTTAACCCATGTAGCATTGCAAAGAGGTTTAGGTGTGCTAGGAGAAGATATAGGTTGAACTGGAGTTTCTTCTTCAAGAATATTTTCAGTCACTATCATATCATCCACATCTGTCTTTCGTCGTTTCCAAGGAGGTAGTAAACCAAGAGGTTCTGTTGGTACCACAGTAAAACTCGCTTCAAAAGCCTTTTGATCAATCTGTTCTTGCTTTAATTCTTCGCGTGAACGCACCTGGAAAGGTAAAGGAGCATCACCCAATCGTTTCAAAAGTTCACGTCGCTCGCTAGTACTTAATTCAGAGGCCACATTTGTTGTAGAAGCCATAGTTTCAGGAAAGACATAATGTCGGCAAAAAATTGTTCCTCCTGTTTTTCTAATATTGTAAGGGGTTACATATTCTTCATTTTTACCAATACATGAAGAACACTGTGCAACTAGTTGTAATCTCCTCTTCAATGTAGCAATCAGACATCTCTGTGAACATCCAATGAGTGGAAGCAACGCAGCACCTAGATTTACTGTTGATTCCTCCAAGAAACTATTTGTCACCACGGAAGCAAAAGTCACTTCATCTGCTGTACCACTATTCTTGGATTCATCAGTGGTACAATTCTCACTTCCGACTTCTTTTTCATATCGCTCTTGTTGAACTAGAACACGATTACACATTGAAGAAAATGTACTCAAAGCAGGGGAAAGTGAAAGTTGTTGAAGTGAACGATGAGAAAAAAGAGGACACAAAATGGTTCGTGAAGCAACGTTGGAATAGGTACTTGCAACTGATAGCAGACCTGCACGAAGTTCTGGACTAGACTCAAAGGAACGAAGGATACGATGAGAGGACCATGGCAGTACCGCATCTTCAGCATTCATTTTGGAGGAATTAACCCAAAAATTCCTTCTGATGTCTCTAAAAAGAAAAAAAAACACATATAGAGAAGTGGAGAGGGAAGGGGAAGGATAACAAGAAAGGAAGAAAAAAAAGGAAAAAAAAAAAAAAAATGAACAGAATCCGTATTACATCGCCCCTGACATCCGGTATTCAGAAACCAGGAAAAAAAAAATAATAATAATAATAATAATAATCAAAGAAAAAACATCTAGCTATTCTTTTATGTAGATCCTCAACCTTTACATCACCTATGAAGTTTTTTTTTTTTGCTTCATGCTTTTAATACAATACATGCGTAGAGAATCTATAATAACTTCTGTTTAAAGAGCTGAGGCAATACCAGACAAGTCTTCCGACAAATCAGGAAAACGATTTTTCAAGTCTTCTAAGATCTCCATCATTGTCTTTTTCTTCTCTTCAAGTCTGGTTAATTCCTCATTTACCTTTTCTGGAGTAAGGGATAACTTATAATTACCTTTCTCAGCATCACGAAGACGTTGTAAACTTGTACTTTTCACTTTCTTTTCATCTTCGAGTCTATCACATTCCTTTTGCGCTGTCATTAATTGTGCTTGAAGGTCCGCAATTTGTTCATCAAGAGTTTCAACTTCACGTCGAGCAGTTTCAGCTTCACTTGTAGCTTTCTCAATAGAAGCAATACATTCTTTAATAACTTTTTCTTTCAGCTGAGCTTCCTGTCTTTTTTCATTAAGTTCTTTAAACATTCTTGCACTTTCTTTATCTACATCCATTCTTGTAGCACCTCTCTTATTCTTTTTTGTAGCGGTTTGAATTGCTTGTCCCTTGGTACGAATTATTTCGCGGTGATCAATAGATTTCTGCATCTCCTCTATAAGAAAACGTTGTTCTCGTTGTAGTTCATTCATACGTTTCTCCATAATCCCAATTTCCTTTTTCATCTTTTCAACTTCAGCTCTACCAACTGTAGGATCTAGCGCCATTTCTGTTTCTTTTGCAACCTGTATTTTTCTTTCCCAAATAAGAATATCTCGCTCACAGCTCATGATTTGCTCAAGCAAATCAGCTTTACTTTGACGAATTTCTCCAATTTTGTTTTCAAGATCAATAGCCTCTCGCTTTTTTTCTTGGAGTCTACGAATAAGATCATTTTCAAGAAGAAAAGCTTCATTAGCAATAATTTTCTGATCTTCTGAGTTTTTACTAAGCTGTATATTTACTCTTTTCATTTCAAGATGCATAGCATTTGCTTTGTTTTCCAAATTCGCAATTTCCTTCTTTTCATTCGCAATATTAATCAATAGACGATCTCTTTTTTGAGTTAGAACTGTACCTTCTGCTTGTAATTCAAGAATAGCTTCATTAACCTCATTAGCACTGTTTTTGCAATTTACTAATTCTGTTTGAAGCTTTATCCATTCTTGTTGAAGAGCCTCATTTTCACTTACCTTTTCTGCAATAGCTTTTGATAAACTGTTTATAGTGGCTTCTAAAGGACCGACATGTTCACCCTTATCTACTCCATGAATGCCTACCAATTGCTCAAACTGGTGATTAAGTTGATCAAGCTGTTTTTGTTTTCTATCAATTTCATCATGTCTACGGCGAATATCCATTTGCATCCGCTCAATCAGTGTACCCCGAGACTGTAGTTCTTTTTCCAATTCACTTAAAGTAGTTTTCAAAGTCTCATTATGTGATTGTGCTTGTAGTGTATCCACTCGAACACGAGCTAATTCATTTTCCATTTGTGTTACTTGTAGCTCTTTAGCTCTAATTGATTCTTTAATTTTTTCAATTTCATGTAATGTACCTTCACCTTCCTGTTTAAGCGTTGTCTGCTTACCAAGTGATTCAATAATATCATTTTCCATTAGAATAACATCTCTTGCACATTTTTGTATTTTTCTATCAATTTCTGCAGCTTCAGATGCATAAGTACGTGCTTCATACTCTATTTTTTTAGTTTCTATATCTGTTTGTTCCAAGTCTTTCTTTAACATTTCATATGACTGTGCACTCTTATCTTTCCGTTCTACTAACGCATCAATTTGTTTTTCAAGGACAGCAACCTCATTATCTACCCGTGACATAAATTCCATCAACTTTGAAGTTTCAGTTTGAACTTCCTCAATTTCTTTTCGACAACCAGTAATCTCGTTTTCCAATGTTTGCATATCATCTTTCTGTTGTTGTAACGCTTCTTCAGTTTTCTTCATGGCTTCATGACGACGTTGCATCCCTACAAGAGTACTTTTCCATTGTTGAACCAGTTGTTTTTTGTCAAAGTTAATTGCTTCCATTTCTGCTAATGCTTCTGATAATATTTCCCTTGCTCGTTGCGTTTCCTTTCTTTGATTTTCAATCTGTGAATCGACTGTAGATACTTCTTCTTCAAGTAAAACAACTCGCTTTTCAAGAGCGTTAATGAGATTATCTTGTTTTAATTTCTCCTTTTCCAAATTAGTAATATCTTCTTCTGTTTTGTAAGCGGCCCGCCTTTCAACTTGAACCTCATTTTTAAGTTGCTCATTAAACTGCTGTACTTTAACAAGTGTTTCAGTAAGTTTAACAAGATCATTCTGCTGATGTTCATATTGTCGTTGTTGATCTTCAATACTCTTTCGAAGACTTTCTGCCTGTGCAGCAAGATCTTCTCGTTCTTGTAATTTTTCTTCATGTTGTTGTTGTGTTGAAGCATATTTTTCTTGATACTTCTCAAGTGTCTCTTGCAATTTAGCAAGATGTTGCTGGGAGTTATACAGTTCAACACCACATTGCTCTCTTTCTTTTTGAACCATAGTAAGTTCATTTTTTACTTCGTAAAGCTGTTGTGAAACTTCCTGAAGGTGTTTACGAAGTTGAGCCTCGATACGCTGCTGAACTGGTGCCAGAATCGAGGATTCAGGATCCAACTCAGACATATCGCTCGTAATCTCATAAGCAGTTTCAGTCATGATTCCTCTATTAACAGAAAGAAGAACAAAAAACAAACTTCAAAAGAAAAAGAAAAAAAAAAATAAGAACTTTTCTTTAACCAAGAGATACACACATATAGAATGAGATGGTATAGGTATTACGTTCAATAACAGAAGGGATACATACAGTGCCTTTTTTAAAAACAAGAACACCAGTACGAATAAAAGGAACAACAATAATAGTAATAACAACAACAACAACACACCCTTCTTCTCTTATACCTTCTTAGCTAAACGTTCTTCTTCTTTTTTCGCCCATTCAGGCATCCTATTAATTTCACGATAATCTGGAAAGGGTGGCTGATCAATTCCATTTTGATGAGGCCTATACTTTTCTGGAAGTTCAGGTATAACTCGATAGCTGTAGTCAACAGTTTTAAATTGCTTATAGTACAACCACTCTTCCTTCGTATCGAAATGTTCTGGAGGATTACCATTCTGAAAAGCATGAACTGCACTTCTAATAGCATTCCTGGTCATACGTGGTATCCCTCTAACTCGCATTTGTCTTTTGTCACATGTCATTAAGTCATTCCAATCCTTAAAAGTGGCCTTGAAATCGCTCGTTGGCTTTAAACGATGGATATCAGCTTTTTCTAAGAACGCCTCATGATTAGGAACGTAAGACGTAGGAGGGCGTATGGCAACAGGGAGAATTTCTGAACGTTGTGTCGTTTCAATAGGTGCCAGTTTACGAGGATCAGGCATGTAGGTATACTTATACGATTTATGTGGTCCATGTGTCTGATCAAGGAACCTAAGGGTGGTTTTCATCTCTCCACGATTTTGGCGACTAAACAAGAAGAAAACAATCTTAAGAAAGAAAGAAAGAAAAAAAAAAACAGTAAAAAACAAAAGAGAAAGAATACAGATAAAGACAATAATGTCTACAGCTTCTGTTAATTGTTTAGATTATTACTGTTGGTTTATTCTTCCTTAACTAAGAAAAGAGCCACTGTATTAAATGTTTTTTCTTTCTTCATTACTTACTCTTATTCGGTGACTAGTAGATTTTCAGAAAATTTTTTTGTTTGTTTTCTTTGGCCCTCTTTCCTTTTTTCCCATGTTTCATTGACCTTATTATTTTCAGCGATCTACATCCCCATCTGTAGTGCTGCGGGACCAGGAATCTTTACGGTTCCGCTACTGACTGAAATAACATTCCCCTTAACTGTCTTACCATTAAGTTCTTGGATACACCGTGAGACAGATTCGGGAGAATCAAAAGAAATCATAGCAATTAATTCGTATCGGTTAATGTCGATTACGTGTCCGAAAGGAGAAAATAGTTCCATTAACTGCAAATTAGTCATATTAAACGGAATATTGTCAGCAAATACGACACTTACTCGAGCAGGAGGAACATAAAAGTGTTGCCTTCTACCTCCCCTAGAACCTGTGTTTTGCCTTGTGTTTTGCTGGCCTCTTCCACCCCTAGCTCCACGATTCCTTTGATAGTTTTCATTCCCTCTCCTCCTTGGTTGTTCATACGATCCTTTCGATTTATCATAGGTGCCGAAATTTAACAATTCCATAGCAAGATTTTTAGCTTTTCCTCTGGATGGTATTTTTGTTGTATTTTTCTCCTTTGTAGAAGATTCGTCATCACTCAACGAGAGTCCAGGAACCGTGTCAACAAGAGAACGAGCTTTCCTGGCTGATTCTTCAGAATCAAATTTAACGAACACAGTTGTAGTATTCTTCTTCTTCTCTTTTGTCCTTAGTGACCCAACTGCCTCTACACCTGGCCACTCCCTAACTGATGACTCTATTCGGGCGAATTCACCTGAAGGACAAAACGCCAGCATTGTAGAAGGATTCATCATTACAAGAGATAGTATCTCTGTTGGGCTTTGAGAATCTAGAAAAGAAGAGAAGAAACAGAGAAAAAAAAAATATATAGATCAATAACAAAAGTGTAATAAACAACAACAACAAA